CACGCACACACACACGCACGCACACATACACATATATATATACACACACACACACACACACACAAACGAACGGTTGTAAGTCGGTAGCAGGAGGTTCAAATGCTGCAGAGTCATCTGTTATGACCTCTTCGATGCATCCTTCCATGATCTCCGGAGTTGTGTTGTTACTTACTGCTTGAAGTTCAATTTAAATTTGGGATTTGTGTTATTCCTACAATGCTTTCGTCTTTTTTGTCGTTGCTATTGTGATGACGTTGTTATAAATGAGTTTGCTGGCAAAGAAGAAGAAAAAGAAGATGATGATTAGTAACACCAAGTGAGTTCAGTTGATATTAACTGTACATGCGGCTTTAATGGAATCACACAGAGTGGAAGTAATTTGATGAGGCATGAATGATGAACTTCTACTATTAATATGAACAAGTATAGAAGCAATACATCAGATGTATAAATGAGAAACACATTTAAACAAACGATCGAACCACCCCCCACCACCAATAACGACATCAACAACGACATCAACAACAACATCAACAACGACATCAACAACACTACTTACATCTCCTTGGTCTGGGAGTGAGTTGGGATAGGGCAGCATTCAACAAGCAGAACAATCCGGAAGCATTCCTGGTGGGACTCAACATCGGAGGAGGAGTATAGGGAACGAATGGGATGTTAAAAGGAGGCGGAACCTTTGAATCCATGCTACCGTACCCGTGAAGAATTCGGGGAGATCTCAAACGACTTTGGAATGCAAAGTTGGAACTTGCAGAGCCACTACTACTGTTGTAGCTGTAAGCTGATTTGCTGTGGCTACTGCTCTGGCTGTCGGCTGGCTGTTGGAGTTGTTGAGGGGGAGGCATGATGAGAGGACCTGGTCTTTTGCTACGCTTGATTTTGAAACAACTCGGGTTTCTGAACTGGCGATCATCCTGTGCTGTGGCTGAAGATGAAGATGCTGCTGATGTTGTCGCTGATGATGAAGATGATGTTTGATGTGGCTCCTGATGGTTGTGTCTGTCGTCGTATGGGAGATCAGTGGAGGGTCTGATGTTTTCATTATCTTCCTTCGGCACTTCACAGCCATCAGTGAGGTGTGAGACAGCCAGCTCGTAAAGCAAGTGAGTCATGGATAGGCTGGCCGGTTCAGTCCTGTTCTCAAACTCGTCACAGAGCTTGTCTAACTTTCTCTTCCTCGATTCAACATCTTCCTCAAATTTACTCTTCACGTAATATTTATTCTTATCATCATCTTCATCATCTTCGTCATGGTAACAACTCTTCAGAAACATCAATTCATCATGTCGTTTCTTTGCAGCAGCAGCAGCAGCAGCAGCAGCAGTGAGAACATTGACACTGCCACAGCCACCACTATTATCAACAAGTTCATTTTTAGCATTCACCTCGCTTCCTGCATCTGAGATGAACGCATCTTTGACAAATTCATTGGCAGCAATTAGGTACATATCATCGACCGCACGATCGGCATCGGGGATCTCATTCCCTAACTGATCCAGTAGCGGGGGTGGACAGACATTCGAGTCACATGACGGAAATGTGGAAGAGAAGGAGGTTGACGGGAGAGAAGGAGGAACTAGGGACGTAGCGAACATTTGCAGCGAGTGCGATGATATATTCTGCAGGTCTTCTGGAATCGTGAAGTCCACAACTAATTTTGTTGGGTTGTTGCTGCTTTCGTAGTTGATTTCGTTATTGCTGATGATGTCGTTGTCTGTGCTGTTTTGGCTGCTGTTGAAGGACATTTCTTGCAACTGGTATGCAACATTGTTGTTGTTGCAGTCGGAGTCTAGTGAGAATGTTGTCGTCTCAATATTTTTGCCTGCTTTGAAGAGTTGTTCGTATTGTTCTTGAAAGTATTTGACCTCTTGGTCTGGATGCAGCTGTTGGATCACTTGTCCCGCTGTACCATCATCATTTATTCGTTGCTTGGTAGTTGTTTCTTGTTGCTGTTGTTGTTGTGGCGAATGTTGGCGTTGTTGTTGTGTTGGCTGTAACAGTCTAGATTGTATTTGCTGCTTTTGATGTTGTTGTTGCTGCTGCATTTGCTGTTGTTGTATCAGCTGTTGTTGATGCTGGAGATGCTGTGACGATGTTTTTTGCTGCAACAGAAGCTGCTCATCTTGCTTAGGTTGTACCCGCAGCTGTGGTGTTATGACCGGTTGCTTCATCAGCAAGCTGTGAAGTACACTGTAGTTTTGAGAAAGCTTGTTGCCATCCGCATGCAACATTGTTGATTCTGTCTCAGCAGATTTCAACAAGTTAACATGTTGATGCGAATGTTGCTGAGATTGTGGTATGTCATGCTGAAGCTG